GATAGGGACTCTGGGGCAAGTGATGCTCTGTATTCTTGGTGCTTGGGGGGGTCAACAGTGGGAGGGCTTCTAGTGTCCTGGCCCCACTGGTGGACCTCCTGATGGCACCTGGCAGAGTGTTGGACTGGATGGGCTGTTGGCCTGATCCAACATTGGCTTCTCTTATGTTCTTATATTCTTAGAAGAAGCGTACATCTCAAAACATGTTTCTGGCATCCGTCAGATCCTGGACTACTTGGCATTGCTTTCTGGGACGATTTGACGATTTGAAAGCTTATACCCTGAAATCCATGTTGGTTTCGAAGGTGCTGCTGAACTTGGATCTTTACTGTTTTACTGTCGAGCAACACGGCTGCCGTTTGAAACTGTGACGATTTCTGTTTGCCAGGTCCTTCCAGAAGGCAACGATGACGTTCTGGAGAAAAGCAACATTAAAGAAACTGAAGATTCTGACATTGACAAGTTCAACATTAGCAACTGTAAAGCACTCATTCAAACCAAGGTAAGAGAGGGCGCGGAAGGAGCTGCAAACGAAGCTGGCGATCTAAATGTTTCTCTTGGACTCCGTTACTGATAGCCACAGTCTTCTGGGGAACTCAAGAGCTTGGACACTCATGTGTTGTTTGGTTGGCCCAGGCTAGCCTGATCTTGTCGGATCTCAGACGCTAAGCAGGGTCAGCCCTGGTTAGTGCTTGGAAGGGAGACCCCCCCCCCCAAAGGTAGTTGAGGGTTGCTACACAGAGGCAGGCCGTGGCAAACCACCTCTGAACGTCTCTTGCCTTGAAAGCCCTGTGGGGTCACCATACGTTGGCTGCAACTTGATGGCAAAAATAAATGAATGAATGAAAGGTATGATGTGGATTATATTAAGAATATAAGAAGAGCCCTGCCGGATCAGACCAATAGTCCATCTAGTCTGGCATCCTGTCTCACAAAGTGGCCGACCAGTTTCTCTGAATGGCCAAGATACAGGGCACAGAAGACGAGGTCTTCATAAGAACATCAGAAGAGCCCTGCTGGATCAGACCAGTAGTCCGTCTAGTCCAGCATCCTGTCTCACACAGTGGCCAACCAGTTCCTCTGAATGGCCAACAACAGGGCAGAGAGGCCGAGACCCTCCCCTGATGTTGCCTCCTGGCTCTGGGATTCAGAGGTTCAGTGCCTCTGAATGTGGAGGTTCCCCTCAGCCACCATGGCTAGTAGCCACCGATAGGCTCATCCTCCCTGAATCTGTCTAACCCCCTTTCAAAGCTGCTTATTCCTGTGGCCATCACCACATCCTCTGGCAGCGAATTCCACATTCTAATCACTCTCTGTGTGAAGTAGTATTTCCTTTATTTATTTCTTCTGGCATCCGTCAGATCCTGGACTACTTGGCAATGCTTTCTGGGACGATTTGACTCTTGAAAGCTTATACCCTGAAATCCATGTTGGTTTCGAAGGTGCTACCTAACTTGAATCTTAACAGTTTTACTGTCGAGCAACACGGCTGCCGTTTGAAACTGTGACGATTTCTGTTTGCCAGGTCCTTCCAGAAGGCAACGATGACGTTCTGGAGAAAAGCAACATTAAAGAAACTGAAGATTCTGACATTGACAAGTTCAACATTAGCAACTGTAAAGCACTCATTCAAACCAAGGTAAGAGAGGGCGCGGAAGGAGCTGCAAACGAAGCTGGCGATCTAAATGTTTCTCTTGGACTCCGTTACTGATAGCCACAGTCTTCTGGGGAACTCAAGAGCTTGGACACTCATGTGTTGTTTGGTTGGGGGGGGGGGGTTGAGATGCAGTGGGTGCACTAATCTGGACTGGATTTGCTGGGCTAATTGGCTCACACGCTTGAGATGCTGTAACTTCCTGGGATGTTTGGCCCGTGACAACCGGAAAGCGAACAGTTCTAATAAATCCGGATAGGAAGAAGGAAAAGAAGAGCAGGGCTCGGCCAGGTGTTGTGAAAGGGCATGGAAGTGTGGGGTGGGGTGGGGGAGCAAGTGCCACTGGAAGTATGACTCGGGCGACTGTCAGACTGGTCTTTCAAGTTTGTGGTGTTTGAATTGTGCAGCACTAGGAAATAAAAAGGGATGAAGCAAGGCAAGGGCTCCTTGTCACGAGCGACTGAGGGGGCCAGTGCTTGAAATGGAAACAAGCCGACTCCAGTTTGGAGTACAAATTAGGTGCATAGGCAGCATGGGAATCTCGCAATTCATCCCCCACAGAGAAGATTCTCTGAATGGCTTCTTCCAACGGCAAATTCTACATCCTATTTTCAGTCTAGCCCCATGTGTATGACCAAGGGGAACCTCCACTAAGCCTCTGAATCTCAGTATCAGGAGGCAACATCAGGGGAAGGCCTCAGGGGAAGGCCCGTCGTTGGCCCTGCGGGATCAGACCAGTGGTCCATCTAGTCGAGTCTCCTGTCTCACACAGTGGCCAACCGGAAAGTTCTCTTTGTCAACTCTCTTCATCCCGTGCGTACTTTTATAAACCTTTATCATGTCCCGTTCCCCGCCCAGTCATCTTTTAGAGAAGATTCTCTGAATGGCTTCTTCCAACGGCAAATTCTACATCCTATTTTCAGTCTAGCCCCATGTGTATGACCAAGGGGAACCTCCACTAAGCCTCTGAATCTCAGTATCAGGAGGCAACATCAGGGGAAGGCCTCAGGGGAAGGCCCGTCGTTGGCCCTGCGGGATCAGACCAGTGGTCCATCTAGTCGAGTCTCCTGTCTCACACAGTGGCCAACCGGTTCCTCTGGATAGCCAAGCACAGAGGCCAAGGCCTTCGCAAGAACATGCAAAGAGCTCTGCTGGATCAGGCCAGTGATCCATCTAGTGCAGCATCCTGTCTCACACAGTGGCCAACCAGTTCCTCTGGAGGACCAAGCACAAAGGCCTTCACAAGGAACTAAGAAGAGCTTTGCTGGACCAGGCCAGTGGTCCATCTAGAACATCCTGTCTCACAGAGTGGCCAACAGGTTCATTTGGAGGCCTAACCGCAGGACATAGAGGTTAAGGTCTTCCCCTGATGCTGCCTCCTGCACTGGTATTCAGAGGTTTTCTGCATCTGAACATGAAGGTTCCCACCTGCTTACAGGAAACGAAGCTTGCTGGCTTATGCTGATTCTTAGGATGGTACTGCTCCTAGCCCGCCATCTCCATAGTTTGTCAGGGAGAGGTAGGAAGGGAAGGAGGAGAAAACAACTTTTGTTTTTTTTTTTGTTTTCAGATTTGTGACTAACACAAAGGTGAAGCACATCAGTCAAATGGCCACATTTTCAGATGATTAAAGGAGGTCTTGAGGAGGGGGCAATGAATGGCTGGATTGACTCTGGGGATAGCATCCTTCTGTCTTTGGTAGAGGGAATCCGTTCTGTGACCTGACTTGATTTCATAGCTGGTGATGAAGGGAAGGAAAAATGGATGGGTGGATGGATGGATGGATGGATGGACCCTTTAGTTGTTGATTATCGTAGCACAAGGTGATGAGTGGCATAGAAACTACGAGGTATCTGAAGTGGTCGAAGGGAAGGTGGGAAGAAGTGTGCCCTCTACGCTGAATTAGTGTGAGCTAGCTCACAGTTTTTTAGCCTCCAGCTCACAGTTCTTTTGCCTTAGTTCAGGAAGGATGGGCTCCAGAGCAAACTAATTGATGCAGTAGCCAAATCACTCGCTCACAGCTTTCACGCCAGTAGCTCACAAAGTAGAATTTTTGCTCACAGGACTCCACAGCTTAAGAACATAAGAACATAAGAGATGCCAATGTTGGATCAGGCCAAAGGCCCATCCAGTCCAACACTCTGTGTCACACAGTGGCCAGAAATACCAAGTGCCATCAGGAGGTCCACCAGTGGGGCCAGGACATTAGAAGCCCTCCCACTGTTGACCCCCCCAAGCCACCAAGATACAGAGCATCACTTGCCCCAGAGTCCCTATCTATACCTTGTGGCTAATAGCCACTGATGGACCTCTGCTCCATATGCTTATCTAATACCCTTTTGAAACCCTCCATGCTTGTAGCTGCCACCACTTCCTGTGGCAGTGAATTCCATGTGTTAATCACTCTTTGGGTGAAGAAGTCCTTCCTTTTATCCGTTCTAACCCGACCGCTCTGCAGTTTCATGGAGTGCCCACGAGTTCTTGTATTGTGAGAAAGGGAGAAAAGTACCTCTTTCTCTACCTGCTCTTTCCCATGCATAATCTTATAAACCTCAATCATGTCACCCCTCAGTCGCCGTTTCTCCAATCTAAAGAGCCCTAAGCGACTTAACCTTTCCTCATAGGGAAAGTGTTCCAACCCTTTTATCATTCGAGTTGCTCTTTTCTGCACTTTTTCCAAAGCTATAATATCCTTTTTAAGGTGTGGTGACCAGAACTGCACACAGTATTCCAAATGAGGTCTCACCATTGATTTATATAGGGGCATTATGATATTGGCTGATCTGTTTACAATACCCTTCCTAATAATCCCCAGCATAGCATTGGCCTTCTTTATTGCAGTCACACACTGTCTCGACATTTTCAGTGAGTTATCCACTACAACTCCAAGATCTCTCTCTTGATCTGTCTCTGCCAGTTCAGACCCCATCAACGTGTATTTATAGTTAGGATTTTTGGCTCCAATGTGCATCACCTTGCACTTGGCCACATTGAACCCCATTTGCCATGTTGACGCCCACTCGCCCAACTTTGACAGATCCCTTTGGAGTGCCTCACAATCCTCACTGGTTTTCACCACCCCGAACAACTTTGTATCATCCGCAAATTTAGCCACTTCACTGCTTACTCCCATCTCCAAATCATTAATGAACAAGTTAAAAAGCAGTGGACCAAGTACTGATCCCTGCGGTACCCCACTGCTTACCACCCTCCACTGAGAAAATTGCCCACCTACACTCACTCTCTGTTTTCTATGAACTAGCCAGTTTTTGATCCATAAAAGGACTTGTCCTTCTATCCCATGATTTTTGAGCTTACTTAGGAGCCTTTGATGAGGAACTTTATCAAAAGCTTTCTGGAAGTCAAGGTAAATAATATCTATTGGATCCCCCTTGTCCACATGTTTGTTCACCCCCTCAAAGAACACTAACAGGTTAGTGAGACAAGATCTTCCCTTACAGAAACCGTGCTGAGTCTGCCTCAATAGGTTTTGTTCATCTATGTGCCTACTAATTCTTTCCTTAATAATGGTTTCCACCAATTTACCCGGTATCGACGTCAGACTGACTGGGGTCTTCTCCAGTCAGTGCTCCCTTGTCATTTGAGCTTCAGCTTCAGTATCTGGCCTTCCAGGGAACAGTCAGGGTTGATTTCCTTTAGGATTGACTGATTCGGTCTCCTTGCAGTCGAAGGGACTCTCAAGAGTCTCCTCCAGCAGCAGAATTCAAAAAAAAATGTATTCTTCGGTGCTCGGGAAGAAAGGCAGGGTAGAAATGAAGTAGATATCCAGTCCAGCATTAAGCAGCTGCACTCCCAAGTTTCACAGCCCTTGCCAAAGTATTGTAGAGATCGACGTGAGCCTGTGTGGCGAACAAGGGTGGCTCAAAGTAAAATGCCACCTCACGCCTTGGACCCAGACTGGCAGTGCGGCCCTGGGAGGTGACTGGAGATCCAGCACTGCCTTCACAGTCAAGAGAAGGAGGAACTTCAAGTACTGTCAGAGCTTGTTCTTCTGGTCAAGGGCAGCACAGCTCTGGGAGACGGTGATGGGCACACGCCAGGCCTGTTGCTGCCTCCGGAGCTGCCACTGGTTGTGTTCATGTCCTGCCCAGTCTGTGCCACTCCAAGGGCAGTGAACAGTCCTGGTATTGTATGTGACTCTTTGGAGCCCTGGTCTCAGGCACTCAGGGGCTGCAAGTGTCTATCTGGTGCTCGCTTGGCTAGCTGGCTGATCCTTCCATTCAGCAGTCACGTAAGCCACTATATCAACACAATAGCCTCTGATTCTAGGTATCTGACAAAAGATTGGCCTTTGCTGCCCTAGGGCGCAGTTCCCCATTCAAAGGTCAAATCCAAGTGTAGAAGTTGTTGTAGATATGTAGGGTATGTTTATGTTATGTAGGGCTATCTTTCACCTATGCTCCTGCAGAGTGCAGGGGGTTGGACTAGATGACCTGCAAGGTCCCTTCCAACTCTAACATTCTATGAATATAAGTACAGAGGAGGGCAACCAAGATGTTTAGGGGGCTGGAGCACCTTCCCTATGAGGACAGGCTGGGACTTTTCAGTTTAGAAAAGAGATGACTAAGGTGGGACAGGGTAGAGGTTTGTAAAATTATGCGTGGAGTGAGGAGGGTTGACAAAGCAAAATTTTTCTCCCTCTCCCAAAAGTCTAGAACTTGAGGGTATCCAATGAAGCCGATGGGCAGTAGGTTCAGGACAGGCAAAAGGAAATACTACCCTACACAGAGTGATTAAAATGTGGGATTCACTGCCAGAGGATGTTGTGATGGCCACAGGAATAAACGGCTCTAAAAGAGGATTAGATGGATTCCTGGGGGATAAATCTATCAATGGCTACTAGCCATGGTGACTGAGGGAAACTTCCACAATCAGAGGCACTAATCCTCTGAATCCCAGAGCCAGGAGGCAACCTCAGGGGAAGGCCTCTGCCTCTACGCCCTGTTGTTGGCCCTCCATAGGAACTGGTTGGCCACTGTGTGAGACAGGATGCTGGACTGGATGGACTACTGGTCTGATCCAGCAGGGCTCTTCTTATCTTCTTAAAGATATAATCTTATCACTGCCCTGTCACCTGAGTGATTGGTCCCGGGGCATTCTGAGGTATAAAACCAGAGTTCTCCAAAGACCACTTACTCTGGAACAAGCCTGCCTCTTGAGTTAAGAACCACAGCAGGGGCCTTTCTCCTCCTGCCCATCATCAAAGATGAGGCAGGCTGCTGCCATAGAGATGAGGGCCTTTTGCATGGTGTTCCGGTTAAGCGCCCCCCCCCCCCCCACCACTATTTGCTCTGTGTTCGGTGGGCGCCCCCCCCCCCCCCCCGGCAATTATCAACTTGGCATCTGCTTTGCCGTCTTTTAGGGACCAGATGAAATCCATCTTATTTATCTGCACTTGTAACAACCTCAAAATTGGCAGTAATTCTGCTTTGAAAAACTTCAGTATGTTTTATTCGTGGGTCTTTTTTAAAAAAACAAACTCTCTTGCTTTGTTGTGGTTTGTTTTAACCTCACGTGCCTCCTCGAAGGCAGTTCTAAAGCCGTAAGGCAAGGTAAGAGGTCGCCTAATAAAGAAAAGGTCATTGTGAGCCAGTCTGGGGTTGATCGTGAGGCCTATAAAAATCATTGCAGTGGGGCCCTTCCCATTAAAAGTCTGCATGGAAAGCATTACCAAGGGTTGTTGTGGCACCTCGATACATTTAGGCATACATCATAATGCCCCTGTATAAATCAATTGTGTGACCTCATTTGGAGTACTGTGTACCGTTCTGGTCACCACACCTCAAAAACGATATTATATAGCATTGGAAAAAGTGCAGAAAAAGGCAACTAGGATGATAAAAAGGTTGGAACACTTTCCCTATAAAGAAAGGTTAAAGCGCTTGGGGCTCTTTAGCATGGAGAAACGACAGCTGAGGGGTAACATGATCGAGGTTTATAAGATTATGCATGGGATAGAGCAGGTCGAGAAAGAAGTACTTTTCTCCCTTTCTCACAATACAAGAACTCGTGGGCACTCCATGAAATTGCTGAGCGGTCGGGTTAGAACGGATAAAAGGAAGTACTTCTTCACCCCAAAGAGTGATTAACACATGGAATTCACTGCCACAGGAGGTGGTGGCAGCTACAAGCATAGACGGCTTCAAGAGAGAATTGGATAAACGTATGGAGCAGAGGTCCATCAGGTCCACAAGGTATAGATAGGAACTCTGGGGCAAGGGATGCACTGTATTCTTGGTGCTTGGGGGGGGCAACAGTGGGAGGGTCTCTAGTGTCCTGGCTCCTCTACTGGACCTCCTGGCTGCTGATCCAATCATTGGCTTCTCTTATGTTCTTATGTTCATATACCAAAAAAAACCTGTGTGAAGGAGGCATGAGCATCAAATAGGTCAGTGAGCTGGGATTGGCTGCAGCGCTGTCACACCAGGTTTGCTGCCCCAGTAGAGTCCTCACTTCCCTCTTTTTCTCTTTCCCACACAGCTTTCTGCCTCTCCTGATCCAAAGCAGAGCCATCTCTTTACTTACAACCTGTTCTTGAAGAAGACCCCGTCCACCGGGAGCCCGCAATACATAACAGTTCCCCAAAAGAAGAGGATTTTTACGACGCAAAACCTGAAGATGAAAATGTTTAGCAGCAATGTCTGCTAACGCAAACCATATTCCTGTCGTTTGGCAACTTAAAAGAACACCGTGTATTGCATTACTGGTTCGGTAATTTCCTATTAGAACTGTTTCTCGGGGAAGAAAAAGCACTTCAGCCGATTGTTTCACTTGACTCTACGGACAGGAGATGTTGGGTCATCAGGCAAGGCCGGTGGTGATAAACCCGACCAGAGTGCTGCAGGAAACTCTTGTCTTTAAAGGCAGAGAATATGCAAAACTCCTGCTATTATGAGCCATCTTTTGTGGGCTGAATGGCTTCCCCACCCCCCACCCCAAAAAAACTTTTCTATGTCCCAGATTATAGTGTGTGTGTGTAATTACGGTTTGTGTCTTTGTTACCTCTCCCCCCGCAGTCTATCCCTGGCTGCTTCTAGTACCTGTACAGTTGGCCTGTCTACTCCCAGGAAGGCACTGACAGGCCGTTTGGTTGCACTGGTCTCGTCCCGTTATGGTTACTGAGTCTCCACTAGGATAACTGGGAGATGTAAGCATCTCTTCCTCCCCAGCCCCACTTCCATTTTCTTTCTTGATTCACACACGAATGGCAGTTCCGTGCCGTGTAGCTTCTCAGGACCTTCCAAGAATGGTCTGTATGTCAAGAGTAGAGGGGTGGCCGTTGGCGCTGACTCAATGTCCCCTCTAAGCTGTGGAGTCTTGTGAGCAAAAATTTTACTTTGTGAGCTGCCGGCATTAAAGTTGTGAGCAGGTGCTTTGGCTGCTGCATAGTCTGCTCTGGAGCCCTCCTTCCTGAGCTAAGACAGAAATGTGTGAGCTGGAGGCTAAAGAACTGTGAGCTAGCTCACACTAACTCAGCTTAGAGGGAACACTGGCTGAGGTCCTATCCCAGGACAGGATGCTAGTGGGGTTTTAGTTGAGCGTTCCGTCGAGTCCAATTGTAATGTGAAGACAGATACAATTCCTTAAAAAAATTTTTTTTAATGGAGTGGATTGCTGACAACAGCAGTAATCCAACAGCACTGCCACTCCAGAGGGTTCCTTTAAGGGAAGCAGCGGCTCTTAAAGCGGAGCGTGCCGTGCTTTTCAGAGGGTCTCTCCTCATCACTCTTGTCTGCCGCCAAAACCCCCAGCAGGTGAGAATGCTGGGGAAAGTCCCAGTATAACAGCTTGGTACAAACGATAGGCGTACACTGGGAGTTGTCATAAAGCTTTTCCCCAAAAAAACTTTTCGATTCTCAGGCATGCATATATCCCCAATCAGGTCCAAGGGAGGGCCGGGGTTACAGCTTGAGCTCCTCCTCCTCTTTGGGGTCAGCAAAGCAATATGAGGCAAGGGGCTTAACCTCCTCATGCTGTGGTCCTCCGTGTGCTTGAGAATAGATTAAAAAAAGAAAATTATGGGGAGCTCCAGAGATGGGACTCCCAGTGGGTGTCTGGTTTGGCTGTCAGGTGAGAGGCACACATTTGAATCTCCACTGCCCTGCTTCAATGGGGAGTGTGTGCTAGACCACTCGGCCTTCCCTGCAGTCTGATGTAGGAGTGGAAGAGCGGTATGGGTGTCCAGGTTAAATGCGCGGACTCTAATCTGGGAGAACCGGGTTTGATTCCCCACTCCTCCACTCACAGCTGCTGGGTGACCTTGGGGCAGTCACAGTTCTCAGAGCTGTTCTTTCCAGAGCAGTCCTCGAAAGAGCTCTCTCAGCCCCACCTACCTCACATGGTGTCTGTTGTGGGAAGGGAAAGGAGTTTGTAAGCTGCTCTGAGACTCCGAGTTAAGGGCGGGGTATAAATCCCATCTCTTCTTCTTCTGTCACTGGAGGAAACTTAACCTGTTGGTTGCTGACCTTCTTGATGAAGAGCACCCCCCCCAACTCCACTGCACTACTGAACATTAGCAGAGGATTCCTTGTATGATAAGCATTCCTCAGAATTGTTGATGTCACTCCCTTTTAGGTCCCTTTCAACAGAGGCTCTATTAAGGCCAGCTTTGGCTTCCTAAGGCAGTTGTGTGTTGTTGTTTTTAAAGTTTCACATGCCTAAAGGATAAAATAGAACAACAAAACCCAGATAAAAACAGGACTTGGAAAACCCCCGATTAAAGCCTCACTAACAACTGTGGGAGGATGGCATTTTATCCTTAAGGTGAGTGAGACCTTTAAAAAAACCTGCCTGCCTTCATAAGCCAGGGCGCATTGAAGAGCCCATGTGAAAAGGAACCCCATTCTAAATTAGCTGTTTCGTGTAACTTTGTGATTTTACTCCTCTGTTCATTCCCAGGCTCTTTCCCAGCTTTTGTACATTCAAATCCACACTCCCCATCTTGTATTATTTAACTTCCCGACAGTGCGGATCCTGCAAACGGATCAAGAGTAACGCAGCTCCTTTGTTTCAGCGGTGCCACTTTGGCAACTGCTGCGTTCTGCTTCTGTTACCAAGTAAGAATATGTGGAGGGGGCAGAGCCTGCCCCTCTCTGTTCCACCCCTGCTCCCATTGCGATGCACTTTACACAGAGGAAAGCAACATGGATTCCCTCACTCCAGTTCTAGGATTCTGTTAACAGTTCAAAATTCTGAGGCCGCCTGGAGACTTGCTTGGAACGTGCTTCATGTGGCCTCATAGTACATCTCACACTGGCTTCTTACGCACATGCGCTGCTGCCGCCGCTTCTCTTGACGGCACGAGGTGGGATCTGGTCCAGAGCAGTGCTAAGGACCAGTCTGAATGTAGTCTAAGCATGGCCCCTGAGTGTTAGATCTTGTGTGGATTAGTCTACTCTGGAATAAAAACTAATTTGGCATTATAGTTGTGGTTTTCAGGAGGGTCTGTTTACATACTGCTCCCCCCCCCCTTTAATAGCAATAGTTCAGATCAGCGTCTAGTTGCCTCCGTGCAGGGGTGCTGTTAAGACACAGACAGGCAAAAGCCTGCAGCGGAAAGCATGTGGGGTCATGGAGGCATGCCTACCACCACCCTCGTGAAAGGTTCTTTGAGGCTGAAATTTATTTAAAACAAAGAATCCAGATCTCTTAGAAGACGGCTGACAACTAACAAGTCTGCACTGATACTTTTTGTAACATGGCCTTTAATAAAGCTTTCCAACCTTAGACTCTTGTTTTTAAATATTTTCCGCTTGAACTAAAACGACTGAAGCTACAACACAAGCACCATCCCCCTTCTCCGCTCACAGTGCCTACTGCCACCCTCTACCACCTCTCTCTCAGGTTCAGGGTTACAAGTGGGTCAGGATGGTGACTGAGGTGAACCTCCATTCAGAGATAGCCTCGGAATCCCAGCATCAGGAGAGGACCTCGGCCTCTGTGCCTTGTTGTTGGCCCTCCAGAGGAACTGGATGGCCACTGTGTGAGACAGGAGGCTGGACTAGAGGGGCCACCGGTCCGATCCATCAGGGTTCTTCTTATGCCTCATTTGCTACCCTTGTCTCTTGTAAAATACACGGAGTGCCACAGCCATTTCCCCTGCTCAGCTCCTCTCACTCACAGACTCATCACCATGCAGGGCAGCCCAACCCCTTTTAACAACAGGCCCTCATACATTCTTCATCGATGCACATTATTGGTCAAGATCACTCCTCCAAGAACTGCAACCTGTGTTCAAGTGAATGAGTTTGCATTTCAGTGAGTACAGCACTGAATCCCATGCTGATGTTTTCCAGTCAAAAGTTGTATCCAGGGTTAATGCTGAGGTGGAAATGGCTGTTTCAATGTTAACCAAACACCTTCACGCTTAAAACTGAGTCACACCTTACAGACCCCTTCCCCAAACTGGTACTGCAAGGAAAGAAGCAGCTTTTCCCCTGGCACCAGGGAGGATTCTTGGGGTATAGAAGAGCCACCACACCCGCAAATAACGTGTGCTGTCAAGCTAGAAACAGCCTGAGAGAGTGAGTTCTGGGCTATCTCCAGATCAGCTGAGGTCTCAAAGACCGTCCAGAAGGCTTTACCACCATTGTAGGATTAAGAAATAGAGTATGACTCTCCCTCGCTCATGCCCGCCCCTCTCAGTTCCTTGAGGTGGGGGGGTGAGGGAGAAGACTCTTCTTGGCCAAATGCTGGAAGGAGATGATAACACAGCCCAGGGAGAAGCTCCAAGCTTTTCTCTGCTGGAAAGCTGACAGCAGAAACAGAAACACGGTTTCAAATATTTTAAAACTAAGAACCACATCTATAGATGAGATGGTCAGATTGAAATATTTATTATCACAGGAAGTTAAAAAATATTTCACCCACAATTCTGCTTCATCACAGTGCAGAAGGCCCTTGCCATTTTCAAGATTCGCATTTTTTTTTACATATAAAGAAGCAATTATGCACAGTCTGTATACATTCTGAGACAAACATCTTTCGACCTCATCCCTTTACTCCAAAAACGGACCATGTTTTGCCAAGAGGGCCACAGTGATTTAGATCCATTAACGCACCACATGCACATTAATGCACCAATACTTTTCAGACTGCTGAAGTATGCCGTGGGCCAACCGATGTGACTTATTTTGCACTATTTGTGGCGTAAGACCGACACATTCATGGCCTTTGGTGGGAGGCAGAAAATCAGCACCAAGATCGAAGCAGATGGCTATTTCACTCCCTCTGAGATTAAACCATGGAAGGTCTTCAGTTCTGCTGAAGCTCGGTTCTCCTTTAACAGTAAAATGGAAGTACTACAGAAAATAAGTACCAGACGCTTCTTGAGATGAGATGACTGTGTTAATAGCAATTTGACCACTTGAGCAATGTCTTCATAGCCTGTTCTCATTACCTGAACTCTCCTGTTAACCACTGCTGAGCCTGCCTGTTCTCCTGACAAAACTTTCTACTGCTAGCAGGCAATACTGGCATAACCGGGTATGACAGGGCATGGATGAATGATTCTGCAATGTCCACATGCTGCTGTGTTACGTTCACTGCCGGTAAAGGATCGGGAGGAGAGGGCATCTACCAAACCAGATGCAGTTTACGGTAGCAAAAACCAGAAAGTAACTGATGTGAGGGCATGTGCAAATTGTAAACATCTGTATGGACGCCTAAACACCTGTAGGCGGCACTGCCGCCACAAATACCGAAACTAATGAATTGGGATACAGCTGAAGTGGCTTCTGCCTCTAGGATTACCGCCAGGAGGGTTCCTAACCCACTGAAGATGGGAAGGGGTGATGCTAAGGGGTCCTTGGTGATGTTTAAAATTAGCCACACAGAAAAGGTACATTCCATGGCGAACACCTTTGACGGGGAACTGTGGAACAACACAGCTTCCAATTTCCTACAGGGCTTCTGCACAAAATTGCCACCAGGTCTGTGCGCCTCCATCAGGCATCTTTAGTTTTTATCTGCCATATGTGCATTGAACGACGGTTGCTTACAATATAGGGTGGTGCAAAAAAAGTTCCATTTTAAGTGATATATTGCACATAAAATCTAAAAAAAAAAATTGTTGCGAAGATACAATATTCTCCAAAGAGTTAAAATACTTCTACATGTACAGTTAAATATTAATATATTTTTTAAAAATCCGCAAATTACCCCAAATTGATGCACATAATACTGACAAAAAGTTTTTAAAACTGGATCATCTACATATAAATTACATTTGTAAATGCATACAATTAAATACCATCCAAATTTCACCAGCCAAGAAGTTGTCAACAATTTCTTACTTCTCCCGTCCTGCACATCAAGCGCCAGCCGTGGGGTGGGGTGGGGGGGAGAAAAAAGAACTGCAGTGTTAGACAAAGCACTGGAAAGAGTTAAAGCGTTTCAGCTTATAGAGGTAGTGCCACCCACATCCAATCGGAAATTTGTCATCTCCAAACTATGATGGATCTACGTAGTAAAATGTAGAAAGGCTAAAAAAATTTACAAAAATAAATAGTCTTCAAACGCTTTACAAATTTGCAAGGTTATTTCTGCTGCCAAGCATCTGGAGGCCCCTTCAACAAAAGGGAAGGGAGAAATTTTTTTTGTCTTTTAAATGTTTTTTTAAATATATCTCTATTTATTGAGGATGCAAACTCCAAGGATGCAGCTCCAGTGAATGCCAAACAAATCATGTAATCAGATATTAAAAAATAGAAATCTTTACTTCAGAAGATATTTTTTTTCCAAAATTCATGTATCCAAATTCTTTCAGACAGATTAAAAATTGCACATTAAAAAGTTAGTTCTGCTGGAATAAGGGGAGAAGGGGGCGTGTGCAAGAGAGACAATCTTTGCATATACCCCAGAGGGACCAAAAAAAAAAAAAAAAGATTGCACAATTTGTTTAATAAATATACCATTTTACACAAAAGCCAGCTGCATTTTTTGGTTTACATATGAGTCTTGGAGAGGTTTTTAAGGACCACACAAAGATAATGCCTCTGGTTGCCACTTTGGCACACCACTTTGCAGCTTCCCTCTCCATGGTTTTTAATTCCTCTGTGGTTTTAATTCAAATGTGGCAGTAGAATAAAATATCTTTGGATTTTTTTTTCCAAGGGGCAGAGAGCCGTCAGGACCCAACAAGAATCTCCATGATGTGGTCCAAGTCACTCAAATCACTTCTACAAATTGGGATGTTGCTTGCTGAGGAAGAATTGCAAGAGGGAAAGGTTTTCAAGGTCTCTTCCACAGGCGCTACAGGGAACGGTCTTGGAAGCGTCAGTGAGGGGCAGTCAAAGTCTGAATCATACATCGAAGTGTCGATATCTTCAAAGATGTCGTCTATAGCCAAGTCTTTCAAGTAGCTAGTTGAGTTTGAAATTTCAAAGGAGCCAAATGCACATTCCACTCCCTTCAAATCCTGCCTGTCATCTTCCGACCGAAGACCGGGCGTTTCAGGAGCCTTAAACTGATCGTCTCCAGGTGCAGGCAAACAGGTGGGCGGGCTCACGTCCTCCATAAAGTCCAAGTCTTTCAGAATAGAGGAAATGGCAGACGACATGTCATTATCAGAAACCATCAACAGGCTGTTTTCCAGGGGGGCTTCTACTGGCCGTGGTTCATAACCATTGGACTCCTGCTGGTTATCGCAAGGGAAAAGATGTAAAGGCATTGTGGACGAATCCGTGCTCATGCAAGCCAAAGGGCTGGCGCTGAGACCGCTGCACATGTTCAGGAGCTGCTGGCTGGTTTCTTGCCTCATCTCCTCCTGAATCTGCCTGACAGTGTTGGCTATAAGGACAGAGCGGTGCAAGTTTGGCTCCACCAGCATCTTGTATGTCTGCAGCTTGGCAAGGCACACATTGAGCACCAGCTGCCTCTTGAGCGGATAGGGCAGGTTTCGACTGGAATCGAAGGCACTTGAGAGGCCAGCCATGTTTTCCTCATAATCACTCAACTTGCGTTTCAGACCCCTTCCCAACATGAACCTGGAAGAAAGACACAAGCATTAGATTACTCGGTTTCTATAATATGAACAACTGTGCAAATAAAACAGCACTCCCAAGGTTTCAACTGATCAGGAGCAAAGCTGAAGCACAAGGGGGGAAGAGGAGCACCTTATTCTGCAGCCAGGGTGTTGCACGTGCCACAGTTTTTCAGGATCGCAGAAAGCGACAGAATGCCGCCTGCCACCCAACCTGGCTTTCATTCAGAAACAAGTTTTATAGCCCTCCAGGTAGTCCAGATGTGCTTGGAACACCAGGTAAGCAACACACCAGGAAATCCCAGAAGCCCAAGTTACTGAACAATATTTCATTTGGCCAGAGGGTGGAGCTTCAGCATCCTACAGTTTGTTGCTCCTCCTTGTGATTTACCAGCTGAGTAAAAACTGTAGAATAAATTATGTAAAAATCAAAGAAACCATGAATCGATGTCCACTTTGCTTAACTTGGACTGATTTTTTTAAATATGGCATACACAAAGGCTTCCTGTAGTTAATGACACTCACCACAACTTGGAAACATTTATTCTGCACACACCTTGCACACACACTATTGTGCTAACTATACCATGTTCTCCACTGGGAACATGGCTGTCTCCAATAAGACAGGAAGGACTGATGGTCCAATCTCCTATCTGGAATTATCTTAACTAGAACACTGTATGGGCACGTTCAGACGGGGGCTTTCTGCCGGCATAAACTGCACCGGTTGGAACCGGGGGGGGAAAGCCAGAAGCCTCAGGCTTCTGACGGAAATGGCTGTGGAACGGTGGAGACCGATCAGACGCCGGGGTACACCGTTTACAACCGTTGCACTCAGTATACCACCACTTGTGTGCAACGGTGTAAAGGGCTTTACTGTTAGGGACAGGAGGCAGATGTGCCCCGTCTGAACGCCGGTGAGTACAACGGTTGGAACCGGCACCCTAGCCGATATAAAGCCCCCGTCTGAACGCACCCTATTTGTCATATATTAAAATTGTGAGCACAACTCTGTGATTTTAATACCAACATTACCTCCCCCCCCCCTCAAGGTACACTGTTCAGATAGAAGTTTCCCTATGCTCTCTAAGGTTTGGTCTAAAAAGCTGGTCTGACTGCTAAGAGAAGCTGTTCAAAAAATTCTTTTGATGCTGGCCACACTCCCTCCCCTCCTCTTGCTGTACCACTTGAAAGATGGACTTTGAATCTTGGCACACAAGGGAAGTCACTCTTGGAGAAGCTGTTAAAAACCTAGGCTCTTGCAGCAAGCTCCGTTACAAACACAACTGCTTCCACATCAATATCAGCAGCATTTTAAAAAAACACCAAAAAACTCAGTGGTAGCAAAGTCTTTGCTTGAAACACCAAACCACAAAATTCTTGGGTGAAAGGTTCTAGCAGAACTTATTGTACATAAATAAAAAAACTAAGCTGTCTCAGTGATCAAGCCAAACGAAAAGGAAAAATCCTCAAGCAGGAAAGGGACTGCTTCTCATACAGCAATGACTGGTCAAAGTCCACCATCCAGAGGGTGTGTGTGCAGCACCTAACCCTACAGCTACATTCCTTAGGAGTTTTCCCTTGAACAGATACTCCCAAAAAACCTCCAGGCTGTTGAGTTTCAGGATTAATTTTTAGGATCTGGCACAAGAACTTAAAAAAAAAAAGTGTGTGTGTGTGTGGGGGGGAAGCAGAACACGCACACATTTCTCTTTGAATGGTTCTTGTGCCAGAACTCCAAGCTCCTCTTTAAAAAAAAATTGAGATAACGTGGGGGTAGGCAGCTGGTAAAGGAACTGCTAGAACAATGCAGGCATCTACAAAGTTCACAGATTGTGGCTAAAGTGGTTTGGAATGCTGCACCCCTTCAATTCCTAAACCTTACGTGTACCATACTGAGAGAAAACCCAGAATGAAACTCCCAAATCAGGTTAACCAACCTTGACTGAAAAGAGAATTGAGTTTGAGCTTCATCAGAACGATCTCAGTTTAAATACCATTTCGAGAAGAGCGAAGAAACTGCAGCAGCAACTAAACCCTTTGTGTTAACATGGAAAGCACTTACTTCTGGTGCAGTAAACATGCATGCAGATTGCTGTATGTCACAAACACATGTGCATATTTGGCTACGGCTTTTCAGTACACACACAGGCAGTGGTCGTGTGGGTACACAAATAGGAGAAATACACTCCTGTGACATCAGACATGTTCTACCTGTAGGCTGCATGTTATTTCTTCCAAAGAAATGCTTTCCAGGCATGATGCTTCAGTCTTTATGATTTGCAGAATTCACTGCTGCCTATAAATACACAGTCCACAGTATAAATAAGGTGCTTCTGCACTTGTGTTTCATTTTGCTACAGTAGACTGACACCGTTACCCCCTCACAATCCACAGCAAGCCCAATAGAAAGCCTCTGTACCAAGAACCATGTTTCTTCCTCCCAGCGTGATGCTGACATCATTCTCCAGCCCTATCGGTTCTGCTTTTCATGGAATTTCTCCTCAAGCTTCCACTCAAATACCAAAGTTGGAGCATTAAATGTTTCCATACAAATGTGCTGTCAGCATTAAGGTATCATGGCACGCTGAGCCGACTTAAAACTGCAAGGGTTCAAAACTCATTTTTAAAACACTTTACCTTCAGTATTCCAAAGGTTGTTTACTGAGATAAGGATATAAAGCCATAATACTGTCAGGTGTTACAAAATTCTCCAAAGAGACAGTCTTCAAAGGTCACCTATTCATTAAGGACCACCTCCCAATTTTATGCAACATGCCTTATGTTCTCCTGTAACTGCGGTGGTGAAAAGTGCCATCAAGTGGCAACTGACCTATAGCGACTCCATAGGGTTTTCAAGGCGAGAGACAAACAGAGGTGGTTTGCCACTGCCTGCCCCTCTGCAAGGAACCCTGGATCTCCTTAGCAGCCCTCCATCCAAGTACTTAGCTTCTGAGAGCTGATGAGATTGGGCTAGTCTGGGTCATCAAGGTCACGGCACCATAACTGTAGCACATTTGATTATTAAGATTTGCTAATGCCTCTTAGGAGCTGCGGTGGCTCAAGTGGTTAAGACGCTGAACTGCAGGCTGGAAGGTCGGTAGTTCAGCAGTTCGAGACCCGAGTGCTACATGACGGCTCGAGCTCCCATCTCTGGTTCCAGCTCCTGCCAACCTAGCAGTTCGAAAGCAAGAAATTGCAAGTAGATAAATAGGTACCGCTTTGGTGGGAAGGTAACAGCATTCCGTGCGCCTTGGCATTTAGTCATGCCAGCCACATGACCACGGAAACGTCTTCGGCTTGAAAATGGAGAGTCGGATTCGACTAGTTTTCGAGCAAGGGAAACCTTTACCTTTACTAATACCTCTTATCTACAGGGTAGCATTGACTGCCTAGATTGGTTGCATCATTAGTTCAGACCCAATGAGACCCAACCATCATTTATAATTTGTACATGCTTGAGGATATGTAAATAAGGAACTGCTATTCTCATCTGGGTAAGTGGCCACCCTGTCCCAAACACCCCCCCCAAAAAAGTATCCAAACACAACTTGTTAAGAGAACTGTGGGGAAATAACATGGTTGAAAAGACCAGTGAAATACGTGCTGTGCGGATTTACATTTGGCAGGCAATCCCTGCGAGTTCCTTAAACAGCTTTAACGCAAAGAAAGGAGGTTTCAGGGACATATAAATCTGAGAGCAAGAGGCAGATGAAGGGTGGATCCTTAAGACCCCACACATTGCACAGGGCCTCCCGGCTTCCCCTTATGTCTCAGCACTGGTACAGCCAGCGGCATCTCAGCTGATTTTTAACACTCCCCAGCTCCACAGCACAGACTGGGCAGCCAAAGGTTCTAAGCAAAAGAGGAATGAATGGTTTTTCTGTGGGTGAGTAGTACAAAAGCCACTGCTTCTCTCTCGCCCAAATACAGGCACACCAGCTCTGCTGCTTAATTCACTGCATAGCGCCCTTGAGGAGCTAGCAGAACTGAGCAACAACAGACAAATATGGGGAAACCTACATAATACATAAGTACAGAATTTAGTGTTTCTAGGAACAGAATCTGGATTGCCTCGGAGCCAAATGAAGATTATGTTCAGCACAGAACCCCCACCCCCAAGCCAGAGCGCTTATCCTATGGCTCCCAGAAGGACTGAGTATACAACTGCAGCATTTATGTATTCAGTTTTTAACTTGATTTCCCCCTAACAGGGACTTATAACAAACCTTATTTAAAGCACACAAACACTGTGAATCCTAATGACTGCATAATGGACCTGACTTGTAGCATAAAGAAAGGAACCAGGATATATCGAGTACATACCGCCACCATTCAAAAACTGGCACAAAGGAAACGTCAAAGGCAGGTTCGCAGAGCCACAAGAAGAAGACAATGACTAAGAAGAAGAAGAGGATGAGGAAGAGGTTGGATTTATCCCCCCCCCTTCTCTACTCAAAAGAGTCTGAGCCTGGCTTACAATATCCTTCCCCTCCCCACAACAGACACCCTGTGTGGGGCTGAGAGAGCTCTTTAAAGGACAGCTCATGAGAGAACAGCTCCAAGAGAACTTGTAACTGACCCAAGGTCACATCAGCAGCTGCATGTGGAGGAGAGGGGAATCAAACCCGGTTCTCCCAGATTAGAGTCTGCGCTCCTAATCACTATACCAAACTACTAGTGTAAGAAGATAAAAGTGGCCATACTACAACAGACGATCCATCTAGTTCAATTTCCTATTTCCAATAGGACTTGCTGTTTGTCTTAATACTTCTAGAAATGTGCTCTTCAAATTCCTTGTGTACTTGCTTCATCACTTTCTTGCATTTCAATTTGGGGTTCCCTCAAATTCCCCCAATTGGGCTAAACTTCCCCTCTATAAAGAAGGCCTTCTTGTCTGTGGCAGTTTCATTGATACTTTCATTGAGAGCCAGTTTAGTGTCGTGGTTAAGTGTGCGGACTCTAATCGGGGAGAACTGGGTTTGGTTCCCCATTCCTCCACTT